GCCAGAAGGAGTAGCAAAGACCCTGCTCATCAGTTACAAAGTCAGAGCAGGGGACCACCATGAAACAGGCATTACAACCCATACCTGAAGATGCTGTATTTTGTAACTCTTGCTAGGGTTCCCAAAGAAGTGTCGTCGCCATGACATCAGGGGTCAAATTCATTCTCTAAAAGTCAATCCATCTCTATTGAAGGGAAAACACCAGTGAACTCTGTCCACTGAAAACAAGGTCAGGGGTCCTAGGAGACAACGACTGACCTGATGCCTCTAAGGGCAGACAGTTGAAGAAGCAGGGAACACAGCCGAGAACACGGGTCTGTTTGGTATGTGGAAGGCACAAGCATCCACCCCATGTCATCTTGAAAATGTCTCTAGGAAATTCATGGTCTTCTTTGGCATCTCCATATCCCAAGAAAGTAAAACTGCAAAAGCTCTCTTTTGTAGGGGCAGGGCACCCCCTTTCACCACTGTTAAGTGCAGGACATTAACTATAGGCACGATGGTGTAGAGTAGGCTGAATGAGCTTGAGGGGCCGTGTGACTTTCAGCAAGTAGATTAGCCTATCTGTACAGCCTTCGTTTCCCTAACTATTGAGACAGCACCTATGTTGCAGTTATGTAGGAACTAGAAAATCCACAAATTCAGCTTCTATTGGCGACAAACAGACTTGCACAGACGGACCCTGAACCACTGTCTGAACTCCCGCAGGGCCCTTCTCTGTGACTCCAAGCTCCTCACACATAGGGGCACCCACTAACTTTTGAGAGCTCTCGAGTTCGTGGGTCCCAGACTGAATTTATAAAGGAGGAAACTGACAGTCAAACGGGAGAGGGAACTGGCCCCACATCACACTGAGTCTCGGGTGAGCGGGGCTTTGTCCCCAGCAAGCAGAGTTCTTCACACCACGCGACTGTCCTATAGAAAAATCTTGCCAGTGGAAGGTAAACCACCCTTTCAAAAGAAAGGCTGACTGTTTTCTTCTGTCTTTTTTAATCTCTGTGCACCTGTGGAGGTCTGAGAAGAACTTCAGAAGGCAGTCCTCACCCTCCCCTTTCTCGAGACAAGGACTCTTGTTTACTTTTGCCTAACCTGCAAGCTTCTGGGATTCTCTGGGTCAGCCTCCCATCTTCCTCTACTCTACCGTGTCCTGCGCTGCCACCTCAGGCCTTTCACGGGTTCTGGGGAATCCGAAGCCAGGTCCTGGAATACTTAGATGACAAAGGCTTCACCCACTGAGACATTTCCCCAGCCCTGTTGTTTTCTTTTTGGAAAAGGACACTTGAAGCTAAGACTGATGAGCGAGGTGGATTGGAAGGGAACCACTTCCACATGTGACCTTGCATGCCAGCAGGCTTCAGGTGCTCTGGCCAGCCCTGTTGCTGACCGGAGCTTTAACTTCTTCATCCATAAGATGCATCCTCAGACAACATGGCTTTGAAAGGGCCTTCAGGAGAAATTTGGACAATGGGGACCCCCAATAGCATTACACTCATTCATGGATTTACACATTTAGCTAAATTTTGTTTAAATCCTTCTTAACTTGACTGCATAGATCATTCTGGAGTGTTGAGGGTGATCCTTTTGTTTTACCAAAGAAAAAAGCAGGACCCAGGGAGAAAATAAATCTTGTTAAGAAAAAACAGCCACTGGTCATCTCCTACCTCATCCCCAGAGATGCTGGGAATCTATGTCTTTGGGGACTTAATTGGCAATATTTAAAATTAGCACTGGAGCGCCATCGTCCCTCCCTACTGTCATTTCTGAGAGGTATTACAGATTGAAGAATTGTCTGTAATGATGATGGAATAACTCATCTTTAAAATCATGAACTGAGAAAGCAGGTTTACTGCCTTGTCTTTGAATAGCGTAGGCCTGAAATGAAAATCCTGTCCTCTACCAAACAAAACGGGGGAAGTAATTATCTGAGATGAAAAGCCCCAGCCCATCACCGGGCCTACAGAAGATGGGACACATTGATTAGAGTCCAAGTGCCAGGTCTGGGTAGAAAAGAATAGAGAGCCTGCATCATTAACTTCAATAGGCTCTAAAATAATAGGATGCAGCCAGGCGAAAACACGACAAAATCTCATGTTTCCCGATCCCTAAATTAAACGATCCCAGAATGCAATGGGGTAAGGAAATGCATTTTGCTGCCAGGAAGCAGGGCTTTCAGAGGCTTTCAGAGGCACTGGCTTTCTCTTCTTTCCATTGTGATATTTCAAACCCTCAGAAAATGAAAAGGATCCAATAGCAAACATTAACATGCTGGTTCAGTTTTAATCCATGCTGACATTTGGCCACACACACTCTTTTAAAGTAATAAGATGGTTGCTGACAGAACTCCCTCACTACCAAGTAAGCTGCCCATCCCTCTTCCCTCTTCTGCAGAGGCTGCCTCAAACCTGATCCCTATATGTATAGTTCCCATCTACCCATCCATATGCATATGGAATATATTATGTGTATATATATGGATATATATTTCACATATATTCATATATGCATATTTCCCTGTTGTGGTATATATGCAATATCATAAAATTGAACATTGTGACTATTTGGGGATGTTTTTTGGTTGGTTTGGTTCTTGGTTGTTTTTTTACACACTGGACAGTGAACCTAGGATGTCACACGCTGGTCAGGTGTTCTACCCCTGAGCTACTTTTCCCAGTGGTTTGGTTCGTTTCTCCTCAGTTTTTATTTTATTATTTTTATTATTATTATTATTATTATTATTATTATTATGTGTGATATGTGTGTGAGTGTGGGTACCCTCATGACATGGTGAGCATGCAGAGGTCAGAGGACAACTTTTGGGAGACAGTTCTCTCCCTCTACCATGGGATCCTGGGTTGAAACACAGGTCATCGGGCTTGCACAGCCAGGGCCTTTAACTCGCTGAGCCATTTTGCCAGCCCAATCATTTTGAAGCACACAGCTCAGAGGCACTGAGCACATTCACAAGGGTGAACAGTCATTACCACCATCTAGTGATGGAAATGTCACAGTACCATTGGGAGGAAACCTCATACCCTTTAAGCTGTAATCCCCATTCTTTCCTCTCCTCGGTCTATGGTAGCCATGAATCTGTTTTATCCCAGTAGATTAGCTCATACTGGATAAGTCATCCACTATGTGACTTTATATGTCTGGCTCAGTTCACTCAGCAGGATGTTTACTAGGTTCAGCCATGTATGTAGAAACCTTTTCTTCATTGATACATCCAAATAATATTCCATTTGCTAGCCATACCACATTTTGTTTGCCTATTTATCTGTTGATGGACTTAAGATGTTCCTGTTCCAGCTGTTATGAAGAATGAGGCTATAAATATTCACAGGAAATCTTTTTGTGCATGCGTGTTTCCAATTCTTTGGGGCAGAGACCTGGGAGTGAAAGAGAGGCCTGATCTGGTATCTCTGGGTTTAGCATTTTGAGGAGCATATAGACTGTTTACAACACTGTGTGTTTGGAATTCATGTCACGTCTCATTTTTCCATTCACCATGAAGTTTTAGAGAGCCCCCCATCTAGTATGCAGCTGTGGTTAGTGTTTATGGTGGTACAGAGTGCCATATGTGAGCAAACCACTGTTCTCCAGCCAGGCCCTGCTACCGAACACCACTATAGTGTTTCTGGTTTTCCAATTCCGGGACTAACAGCACTGTGTTAGCTCCTCACTGCTGTGACCACTACAAAGGCATTGAGTAGGGGAGCAGTTCCAGCTCAGGGGTAAGTAGGGACGTAGTCTGACACCATGGGGAGGAACAGTGACAGAAGCAGACAGCAGACCAGGCTCTACAATCTGTTCACATTGCATCCACACTAACACACATTCACACACTCAGTTACTCACACAAACACTTGTACACTCACTTGCTCTTCTACACTCAGACACATTAACACTCATAATCAGTCATACTCACAGACTTACACTCACACCCAATTGCATATTCTCACACATGCTCACATGCTCACACACACACATTTACTCACTCATTAACTCATACTTTCTTACTTATATACACTCATATGATTGTGCACACAACAGGTTCACACTATCCTCATTAACACACATACTTTCTTACTCACATGCTTATGTACCTCTACTTTTTACTCTCACACCCACACATTCAAAAACACACATCACATTCATGTATGCACACTCATAGTCACATTCAGAAATATATATTCACACTCACAACAACATAAATTCTACCTCATAGTCTTATACACACTCTCACACACTGATGCACTGATCTCCACCCACATAATACCCCTTCACACTCATCAACACATAGTCACCATTTCACAATCACACTCATATACTCAACACACACTCATACATTCATACACACTAACACATCAATACACATACTGACAAACGAATTCACACACACTCACATTAACACACTAACACACATTCACACTCTCACACATATTCAAACTAACCCAGGTACTCATACATACTCACCACTTACTAACATACAGTCATGCTTTCCTGCTCACACACTTGCACACACAAGCACACTTTCACTCCTGCTAGCTTACACATGTACATTGATACACTCATAAACACATTCATATGCACACACTCAAATGTACAAACTCACAAAAATACACACATATGTACTCACATAAGTCACAGTCTCACACTCATAGCTTCATACTTGCACACAGATACACTCATTCAAACACACACACATGCATACTCTCACAGTCTCTTACATATTCATGTACTCATACTCACAAACATATGCACATTCACTAACTCACACACTTTATTACACTCACATGTACACTCACACTCTCACAAGGTCACACACCAATACTTATTTACATACACAGTCATGTACATATTCAAACATACACATTCACACACCCACTCAAACACACATTCACACACTCACAGTAACACACTAACTCACATATCTTCTCACGCACGTGAACACTCACATAGTATCATATTCATAGTCTCACGTAAGATCACACAGCCACACATTCAATTGCTATGTATTTTTATCTCAAATGTTGGGCAGATTCCATGAAAATGCAGTGGCAAGGCCATCATCCCTTTGAAGCTTGCAGTCTGCTGAGTGTAGAGATGACAGACAAGCAGATCACGGCATGGTGAATGTGCAGAGGGAAAGGATCCCAGTTGTAGTTGTCCATCCACTGAGGTTCCAGGACTGACTTCCTGGGAGAGGATGCTGGACAAGAAGTGTCAACCTTCAAGGCAGGGAGAAGGCGGCTCCAGGATGAGGGGTTAGCAGCATGACTGGGAAGAGCAGACACAGGGAATCCTCAGGAGCAGGCACTGTACAAGAGGAAATCCAGGAAAACGGGAGCACCTATCTTTCTTCCCATCTGGAAACAGAGTGTCTCACCCTGGTCTCATGCCCTGTTTGTGAAGTGATGGAGTTGGGAAGGGAGCTGAGACACTCCTCCTGGGCTCCTGGGATCTGAATCTGGATTCCAAGATCTTTTCCTTCATGCATCAGGACTGACACATGCAGTCCAAACATGTTTCCGTCACCTCTCTGGGCACCAGTTTCCTGGTCCACAAATAAGGAGAAGAAAACTGATGGGCTTGCACTGGCTGAATTCTGTCACTTTGCCAACCCTTTCTCATATAACCTCTTCTAAAAAGCTCTTTCCTTTAACCCAAGGTCTGAAAGTCAGCCCTCTTCAGGCAGAGAAGCCCAACACTTTGCAAGGCTCCCTGGACCCACCCCTCTGTTAGACTCTCATTCTGCTTAATCACCTCTTTAAAGATTTTAGATACAGTCATACTCTGAGATTCTCAAGGTTAGTACTACAGCATATGAATTGGAGGTGAGGGACATCTTTTAGACCAGAGCTTCCATCACATGACATCTGGCACACAGTAAGCACTCAGAAAGTGGCACTAAGCATGAACAATGATGGAGATGATGGCTCTCTATGTTGGAAACCCCTTCACAAGGTGACAAGGCCCAGATCAGTGCCTATCAGGAAATTCCCCTGAGACAATAGGAAGAACCAGGGTTCAAAGGCCATCCATTCCCCAGACAATTCATGGTGCCACACAGGTTCAGACTCTCTAGGCAGTACAACCGTAGATACTGTTGACTTGGGCATCAGTGTTACTCGGGGATTAATGTGATGGATGAAGAGGGCCCAGCAGTGACAGTTAAGAAGAAAATTCTTACACTCCACGTGTGATGCTAAACCAGAGGTAAGCCTCAAGAGACTACTCGGTGGTAAGTTGCTTGCCTGGCATGCATGAAGACCTGAGTTCAGTCCCCCCAAAATCTACATTAAAAAGCCGAGTATGGTGGAATGTGTTCATAATCCCAGCAATGGCAAGGTAGAGATACTTGAGTCCCAGGGACACACTAGCCAGCAAGCCTGGCCTATTTGATGGGGGGACAATGCCTAAAAAAAAAAAAAAAAAAAAAAAAAAAAAAAAAAAAAAAAACAGAAGAAAATGGACTGTGACTGAAGAAAAACCACCCAAGATTGTCCTCTGGCCTCCACATACACACAGGTACACATGTGAATGCACCCACACAGACTTACATGCATGTGCACACACACACACACACACACACACACACACACAATGACATGTAAATAATAAAACCAGAGGTTAAGCCTCAGTTTGGCAACTGAGTGAATCACTTTGGGCCTTTTCAGCTCTCAGCCATGCAGGTTCTTGATCCTGGACTTCTATCCTCAGAGCAGAGCTGTGTCAACGGTGAAAGGCTGCTGTTTAAACCCCAGCCAAGAACATCACCTTCTCCCATGTGCTCTTGGCTTAACCGTGACTGCCTCCTCTCTCGGACCCCCTAGCATCCTGAGTGGCAATGAGGGCAAAAACCACCCCAGCACAGACATCCCCAGCATCCTCTGAGGCGTTGCCTCTTGCCTGCTTTCTCTCTTTCCCCTTTCTCCTTTTTCTAATCTGCCCTCCGATCCTTAAATGCCTTCAATTCTCACCTCACATCCATTTATTAACTTTCTCCTGACCCCTACCTGGCATCTCCAGCCCTTCCTTGGTCTTCTCCAATCAGGAGTGAGTGTCCTCTTCTCTCCCAGACCAGAACATCCCGTCCCTCTCAACCTCCCCACTTATATCCTAGACATTCCACTGTCCAGCAGTGGGACCATCCTGAAACACATCTTCAAGTCCACTGTCTCTCTTCTGGACAATGGAGGACTTCATGCAACTCACAGCTTGAGGCCACAGTCAGCAAACAGTTGAATAATCAGAAAGCATGGCTCAACTCCTCTAGCCACAGGATTTGAATACTTGGCAAGAGTGGCCAATGTGAGTCATGAAACCACATGAGCCCCATCGCTTTGTTTTTCTTGGAACTGGTGTGTGGGTGTGAGCACTCAGCAAGACCTCTACAGCTCAGCAGTGCATCCTAAGAGAAGGGAACCAGCTGACCTGCACAGGGCAACTGTAGTTTCCACAGAACTTTCCCATACCTGATTCACACCCTGGGATGGGGATTCCAGCTTACCACCTTGCCACTGGCCTCATGGTAGTATGTCTTTCTATAACACCAACATACCATAGGGGCCAAGGCTTCTTCCTTTAATTGCTTCTATAAAGGCCCTGTCTCCATCAGAGTCACTTTGGGGATTAGGGCTTCCAAACACAAATGGGGAGAGATTCAGCCATGGCAAGAGGGTAGAGGTGAGATGGAGAAGCAGAGGATATAGGGAAATGGGGGCTGGCATTACAAGTAGTCTTGCAACAACCACTAGCAGAAGGGTCTCCACCTGGAGGCAAGATCCCTGTGCCCTCCTCTGCCTCCTCTGGAAGTTGATTCTGACTCACCCCATCTCTGGGTCCCATTTTCCTAGTCCCCATAGAGACTTATTACCTATAAGATCTATAAGATAATATTAGGCTCTCTAGAGGGAAATGGTCCTGGAGCTCAAGACCAAGGGAAGAGTATTTCAAAAGGCCTTCAGGGGTAAAAGAAAGCAGGACAGAGGGCAGTGAAAGTGGAAGCTTTAAACCCTCTCTGAAGGACACCTGAGTGTCTCAGCAAGCTCATGAACAAGGGCAGAGGCCATCTCCTCCAGACCTCAAGAACAGCGTGACTGTCTGCCTCCACTTCACTCCCAAACACGAACTTGTGAAGTGTTGAGCTACAGACACAATCTTGAGAGCCACTCAAGGCAAAGACTGACTTGCTTCTTTGCATGTTTAAGAGAAGGCTGTTTCCATGGGGTAGGCCACTGTATCTCACATTTCCATTGGTTCTATACCACATCCACAGAAGGGTGAAAGAGACCTAGGGTAGAAGAGACCTAGGATGGAAGAGACAGGCAATGCCAAGAGAAGGTGGCTTCACAGAGCCAGTAGAAAGAGGGAGAGTCTGGCAGGCCTTAAGAAGAACTCCTGCCTGGCTGAACTAGGGGTAGTAGAAGAATTGGCCAGGGAATGGGTAGGGCATCATTCCTAGCAAAACCCTGGAGGAGAGATAAATGCTAATATACTTGAACTCTGGTCCAGGGTTGGAGAGAAAGGCATGGGAAGTTGAGGCGTAAGTGCAAGGGAACTTTATGGTAAAGGGTGAGCTATTTCTGGAAGGCAGTAAGGAGCTCATGAAGATTTTGAGCAGAGCAGTAACTTGATCCAGCTTATTTTGTTTACTCCTTTGTGTTTTGAGGAGCTGGAAATTGGACCCCAGGTATAGAGAATATATTCGTGGTCTTGTTCATCATCATCCACCTTTATGAGCTCCCCCTCGCACTCTGTCTCCCACCTTTGATTTACTTTTTATTTAAGATAATAGAGTTTTAGTGCTCAGTTCCACCAAGCCTCCAAGGCACACTTTGTAAAAGGAGCTTGCAGCCATTGTTTTGCAGACTCAAAAAGGAACAAAAATTAGCTCTTTCATTTTGGAAACCTGTTATAATCACAATACTTAAACATGACGGAGATGCCAGCGTGAAATAAAATCAGAAACAAAGTTAAATGTGGACATAGTTTTTTTTAATCTTAGCTAAAAGGCTGGCAATTTAAATTCAGCAATGTAGAAAGCATCTGAGTATCAAGGAGTCTCACAAGATTTCCTTCATATAAGCCCTTAATGGTGTGCATCTGTCCTAGCCAAACCATGTCAGCCAAAATGTGTATACTGAAGCTAGAACTCATACTACCTCTGAACGAGACTGTGCTTGAGGATAGCATCGTTAAAGAGATAACTAAGTTGAAATGAAATGGATCCTAATTCAGTGGAGCTGGTGTTCTTGTGCATTGGAGGGGGAACATCTGTAGAGACATCAAAAGCAGACTATTTCTGAAACAATCATAGAGGCTTCTGGAGAAACCAGCCCTGCCACACCTGGATCTCAAACTTCCAGTCCCCAAGGCACCGAGGAAATGAATTTCTGTTGTTTAAGCCATTCAGCCTTTGGAGTTTTGCAATGGAAAGTTGACCAAGCTGGCAGAATACAGCAGTAAAAAATAAATAATAAATAAAAAGGGGATGGGTCAGGGAAGCGCTTGCCTCACAAGCAGGAGAACCTGAATTTCAGTTCTCCCCATAACCCACATAAAAAAAATCTAGAAATGGAGGCATGTAACTGCAATCCCAGGTATGGAAGGACAGGGGATGCAGACAGGACCCAGGAAGCATGAAAGCCAGCTAGTCTCGCCTACTTGGTAAACTGCAAGCCCAACAGAAGAGTCTCTCTCAAACAAAAGGTGGGAGGTTCCTGAGGAATGACACCCAAGGTTGACCTCTGACCTCTACACTCATGCTATACGTATATGCATGTACATATCAAAAGTAGAAAGCCTATGTAAGGCATTAGGGGATTATCTCAGTTGGCAGAGTGCTTCCCTAGCATGTATGAAACCCCTGGACTGCATAAGCTAGCTATGGTAGCACACACCTGTAATCACACCCTTTGGGAGGTACGGAAGGCAGGATCAAAAGTTCACAGTCCTCCTTGGCTATATAGTGAGTTCAAAGTTAGTCTGAGATACATTAAAAACCTGTCCCAAGGAGAAAAGAAGTGAAAAGAATGGAGGAAGGAAGGAAGGGAGGGAGGGAGGGAGGGAGGGAGGGAGGGAGGGAGGGAGGAAAGAAAGAAAGAAAGAAAGAAAGAAAGAAAGAAAGAAAGAAAGAAAGAAAGAAAGAAAGAGAGAGAGAGAGAGAGAGAGAGAGAGAGAGAGAGAGAAAGAGAGAAAGAGAGAAAGAGAGAAAGAAAGAAAAAAGAAAATCCAAATAAATCTATCAGTATACAAAAAAAAATTTTTTTTCTAAAATCTAACTGCTTTGGAGACTTTCTGTGAAGGATAACAGACCTAACAGTAAATTCTAACTGTATGATGAATTTTCACCAATTCACAATTATCTGACTTTCTCACTTTGCCAGGCCAGTCATGGGGTAGCGATTCATTATTGTGTTCACGCTCTCTTTGGAGTGTGAGTCCCTGTTCATATACTGATGAGAAAGTGGCTCTTTCTGTAAAATGTTTATTTGTCCAATTCTCAACTGTACTCCTTGCCTTTTTCTTAACAATTCATGAGGCTTCTTGTTTGTATGTTGATTTGAAATGTGACATCGTAAGTGACAGCCTGTGGCAGCAGAGTCTCTTAGTTTCAGCATGATTGACATTTGGCCAGATGTTCCTTTGCTGTGGAGTTGTCCTGAGAATTATGGACGCTCACACAGCTCAGTGTGACATCCAAAACTGTCTTCAGAAATTGCCAGATCTCCTGGGAGAGAGGGACCAAAATCTTCAACTGACAGCTATGGGTCTACGGATTATCAGGGAGAGGCCCATGGTCTCTACATCCACGATTAGAAATGCATCATTTCCAATAAGAATCCATCACTCTTCACAGTAGGGCTTGGATTTGAAAGGTTTTCTTCAGGAGTCTTTGACAGTCCTAGGTTACAAAAATGTGTGACTGTGTGTCTGTGCTGCCTTTTGTTGGTTTCATAGCTTAGCTTTTCACATATAAGTCAGCCTCAGAGTTAGAGATAAAACAGGAATGGAATTAGACTCTGATGTAGGTAGTCAACCCATCCTGCAAGCCACCTGCAAGTCGCTGAAACCTTCCTCATGGATCTGTTATGACATATCTGTCATGCATCAAGGTCTTACATACTCATGGATATCTCTGACTCTATACTCTGTCTCATTGAGACACACTTCTAGCTGACTTCAGAATGTATCTTACTGTTGACCCAGGATGGCCTCAAATTTCCTATGTAGCCAAGAATAATCTTGAACTTCTGATACTCCTGCCCTTATATACTGAGTGCTGGGATCACAGGTGAATGCTGGGATCACAGGTGAATGCTGGGATAGCAGGAGTGCACTACCACACTGGCTTTTTGCCATGCTCAGGTTTGAACTTCATGTTAGTAATTGAACTGCAAATGAACTACATCCCTGGTTATATTTTACCGTGTAAGAGATGAATCTCGGAATCTAGCCCCGGGCCAGGATACAGTAACAGCCACAGCTTCCTGCCATGCCATGCAGCTGGCAGGGGTAGTACTCACCTAGGAGTAAGTGAATACAGGATGACGATATGAGGGGGGAGAGAGAGAGAGAGAGAGAGAGAGAGAGAGAGAGAGAGAGAGAGAGAGAGAGAGGCAGAGCGAGTCATGTATGTGGGAGAGAGGCAGATTTGAAGAGACAAGGGTGGTGAGGAATGGGTTGACACAAATGCCCTTCCGTCACCCAGGGCCAGATGTCTATGTCTGGGCTCCTGCCAAGGGCCATGCTTGGTCGGTGATCCTAATGAAGGCAGAGAGGATAGGGCTGTACAGAGTTGGCCCTGCCCCTCACCGGCTGAAGCACTCAAGAGAGAGGGCCCTACCCCTCACCTGGGCAGCAAAATAGAGCTGACCCTGTTCTCAGGGGCGTAGGCGAGTCGGCTCTGAGGGCATGAGGATTGGAGAGCTGGTTGCACCCCTCTCATCTGACATGTGGCAGCATGGGTGAGGGAAAGATGCCCTCCTCCCCTCACCCTCGACACCTGCAGTAGATGGGGAACCTGGCCCAACCCCTCACCAGCAGCTGCAGCACTCAGGAGAACAGATCCCGCTCGTCACCTGGGCAGCACAGTACAGTTGACCCTGTAGACGGAGGCGCCGGGGAGCCAGCCCTGAGGGCGTGAGAGGGGCATACCTGGCACGGCCGCTCTCATCTTCCGTGCAGGGGTGGAGATGAAGGAAAGATGCCCTCCCCCTCTTGCCCCTGCTGTCCCCAGCTGGCGAGGGAGCTGACCCATTTATCAGCTGCAACACTTGGGCAAGTGGGCCTCGCGCCTCATCTGGACAGCACAGCAGAGCTGACCCTATTGACGAGAGAGAGCACAGGGGAGCCAAGCCTGAGAACGTGAGCACGGGATACCTAGTCCCACCCCTCATCTGCCATATGGTGGCATGGGGGAGGGAGATGTCCCCCCATCAATGCCTCAGGCAGGTGGGAGAGCTGTCCCTGCCCCCAACCAGCTGCAACACCCTGAAGAGCAGGTCCTGCACCTTGCCTGGGCAGCACAATAGAGCCAACCCTATCTGCCGGCCGACATGCGGGTGAGCCAGAAGTTGTGAGAATGGGAGAGCTGACCCCACTACTTGTATGTGATGCAGCTGTGTAGGTGAGGGAGAGATGCCCCCCTTACACTTTGCCCCTCATCATATGCCACAGATGAGCAAGCTGACCCTCTGCCTCACAGCTGTAGGACTCTGGAACGTAGACCCTGCACCTGGCCTAGGCAGCACGGTAAAGCTGACCCTTTTGATGGAGGTGTGGGTGAGCCAACCCAATGTTGTGAGCCTGGGAGAGCTGACCCCATTACTCACCTGTCTTGTGGAAGCACCAGTGGGGGAGAGAATCCCCCCAAACCATCATCACCTGAGGCAGGTAGAAGAGCTGACCCTGAGGTCACAAGAGCAAGAGAGCTGTCCCTGCCCCTTATCAGCACTGGGAAGAGTGGCCCCTGCACCTTGCCTGGGCAACACAGTAGAGCTGGCCCTGAAGGTATGGGTACACCCAACCCTGAGAGTGAGAAAGCAGAAGAATTGGCCCTGCCCCTTGCACATCTTGCACATTGCTCCAAGGGGTGAACTCGCCAGGGCAATGCTTCAGAGTTCGCCCTGGTGGTGAGGACAGAGAAGAGCTGGAGGGCTGACCAACCCTGAAACTACCCAGGCCCAGAACCAGGGTTATGTGTTGGCCCACCCCAACATCCACCCCATCTGTGATCTGCTGGAGCATGGGGAGCAGGTCCTGCAGGCCCAGGGCTGCAGGATCTCCATGACACAGAGCAGCAACAGGATGTCCAGGAAGAGACACTGGGCCCGGCATCGAGGGTGTAGCAGAGAGCAGGGGCATCTTCAAATCAGACCAATGGCTCTTTGGGATGAATGCCTGCAGGTAAGAATGTATGAATAAAGGGGTCTACTGTGTGACTCATGGTGTCATACTGCAGCTCCCATGATGAGATTTTCTTTCTCCCCTTTTAATCCTTCTTTCACTTAAATTTTATTTTGTTTTATTGCGGGGGGGATGGGTGGGATCAGGAGGCATGATGTGAAAGATACAAAGAATAAATAAAAAAGAAAGTAAACAAAAAATAAAACAAACACGCTTTCTTATATAAGGATTTGAGAAGAATGTGGTGCTAGATAGTTTAATTGTAACCTTGACACAATTAAGTGTCACCCCGGAGGAGGGAAGCTTACTTGAAGAATTTCCTTCATCAGATTCTGGTCACGTCTGTGAGAGATTGCTGTGACTGATGTTTGACATGCGAGGGCCCTGCTCACTGTGAGCAGCACCATCTCTAGGTAGATGGGCCTGTGTAGCTAGAGTTTTCCTGCCTTACCCACAGTCAGGACAAATCTTTGTCACCCACCAGTCCCACAGCTGCTCAGACCCAACCAAGGAAACACAGAGACTTATATTGCATACAAACTGTATGGCCGTGGCAGACTTCTTGCTAACTGTTCTTACAGCTTAAATTAATCCATTTCCATAAATCTATACCTTGCCACATGGCTGGTGGCTTACTGGCATCTTCACATGCTGCTGGTCATGGCGGCTGGCAGTGTCTCTCTCCTCCGCCTTCCACTTCCCAGAATTCTCCTCTCTCCTTGCCCCACCTACTTCCTGCATGGCCACTGGCCAACCAGTGTTTTATTTATTGACCAATCAGAGCAATTTGACATACAGACTGTCCCACAGCAGGCCTGGGTGCTGCAACAAAGCTAACTGAGATTGAGCCAATGAGACAGTAATAAGCAGTGCTCCTCTATGGTTTCTGCTTCAGTACCTGCTTGCGTTCCTGCCCCGAATACCCACAGTGTAGAACTGTGACCTGTAAGCCCTTTTCCCCCCAGCTGATGTTTATCACAGCAACAGAAAGCAAACTAAAGCAAGTGTGAAATGTTCAGACTTGAGATGGAGTTTCTAAAGTGAGTCCATTCAGGAGAGCACCATCAACAACTCCACCAGGAGCTGTGCTAGCTGGGTCTTTAGGATTTTTCTCCCGAAGCATACTTTCCCGCACAGAGTTTTTTTAACTCCCAGTGTCTCATTATGAACAATGCTCAGGACCTTGGGCCCCTGTGGGACCTAGGCTAATATTTCCTACCAGCAACTGTGTTTCTCCTCTTGTCTTTTCCCACCAACCCTGCTCCCAGAAGGTGGGTCCACCTCCTGCCCTTCCTTGATCTGGTAACACTAGCAATGCATAAGACCTACCCAGTGGCCCCAAATACATCACAAATGTATCAGTTCATTTCTCTAGTACAGACTATTTATCTCCTGGAACTTCACCCCCCACCCCATATCTAATAGACATTCCCATTTCATCCTGAGCCTACCTAAAACACTCCCTGTGGTTTCCCACAGCAATCCAGGAAGGCACTCTTCTTTACATCATGTCCTGAATACCCAGTTCCATCCCTATGCCAGTTTGAATACGAAATCCAAGCAATTTTCACATTTTGAAATTTTCTCTCAGTCTTTATTTCAAGTGAACATATTTATAAAACAAGATGAGGAAAAGGGTGTCCAAAACAACCTTCTATCTGGATGTATCTGCCTCTCCTATGGCTTCAAGTCTTGGCAGATGACCTCTGTGGCACCTGCCAAGAGCACAGCCCCAGATAAATGTGTCTAATTTTCAAATTTTGTGGTTAAAAACATTTTCTTCTCAATATCCTGTTTGAGATGTAATTTCTAGTATGATCTGGCAACTGTTATCTTCCCTGTAAATTCTTCTACATCTACCTATCAGCCACTCTCCTCAGCAATAAAGCACCCCTTTTATTCCCCCCCAAAAGAGATGAATCCTTTCTCTTTTAAAAACTTGACCCACCAGCATATGCCCTTAATCCCAGCACTTGGTGGGTAGAGACAAGTGGGTCTTCACTACATAGACTAGCCTGGTCTACATAGTGAGGTCCACACCACCCAAAGCTATGTAGTGAGACCCTGCCTCAATCAAAAGACCCAGATATTTATGAATCTTATTTATATAAATAAATATATATTTATTTGCCTCAGAACAAGTCTTTCAAGCTTCTCAACCCATTCATCTGGAATTCACATTCAGTTTCAACGAATTTATAAATTAATCTGAAAGGATTTGACATCTTTAAAATGTTACAATATTCCATCACGAACATGGAAAATCTCCCCATTTATTCAAGTCTTCCCTTTATGCTGTTTAATTGAATTTAATTTTTCCTTCCCCAGAGGGCTCCTTGACAAATTGATTCTGGTGAACAGTGTCTTACATTCTATTATGTTTCATGATTGGCATCTGCTGACGAGGAGACATGCGATGGGTTCCGTAATTGCTTTTGTGTCTGACCATCATGCAGAAACATCTTATTAGTGCCCACAGAGGGTTTACTGGTGTGCTTGGCTCTCTCTGTGGTTGACCCTGGCCCTGGCATGTAAGGATAGCTTTATCTCTCCCTTGCAGCCCTCACACCTCCACATGAGTCTGCTAAAGCTGCCTTTCCAAACTTCCACAGATTAAGTGGCTTCAAGAGAACTTTATTCTCTGACAGTTCTGAAGGCTGAAAGCTTGAGATCAATGTGAGAGTGTGCGCCTCTTTTGATTTAATGTCATCTCCATGTGTCTCTACAATATCCTATCTGTATCTTAATATCTTCTTACACAGATATTCTTAAGGGACAACATGAAACTCAACTTTTTTTTTAAGGATGCTGTCTTCAAATATAGTCACATTTTGAGGTCCTAGTGATTGAGACTTCCACACAAAAATCAAGGACACAGTCTGTCCATTACTGCCTCTTGCTGCTTGTTCACAGGTAGAAAGGATTGGATTGGTGGCTGATAACTGTCTGGACCAGGGTTCTCAAGGATGTTGGGATGCAAAGAGAATTGGGATACAGAGTCTTGTGTTTTATTGCTGCAACATTGTCAGTGGAGGTGCCCTTGCCTGAGATCAGCAGTGCGGACAGGGGATCACAGTTCCTCAGTTCATATGCACAGACTCAGCTCTTCTTCTAGTGATGCCACTGTGTCAAGGAATGAAGACACAAGGGACCAAGTGAAATGAGCTTCAAACAGTATCACTATGTCACCCCTGGGAGTAAGAACTGGTAAGACAGAATTGGCTGAGTAGAGCCAATCAATTCCTTCGGCCTAAAAAAGTCTTTAAGGTTCCTGGATGCATTTGGAGTAGGGTGGGGCCTGAATGTCCTACTTCTTGGGGTGGAGAGAGCTCCTGTAATGAATTTCAAAGATGTCATGAACAACTCAAGTACCAACAACATGAGAATGAATAATTAGTGATGTTGCTCCACAATGAATGACTAGATACCTTGAAAAATGGTTTGACAAGGGCACCCATGGGTAAAATACCATGTTCAATGAAATATCAAAAAGACAGGAAATTAAATCATACTTATGACATGAGATAGTTTAAAATACTGCAAAGAAATGCTTGTGGGTATATACATGCTGGTGCAGTGATAGGTTAAGAGATGAGCAGGAATGATAAAGACCTCCTTCAAGAGTTTGCCACCTGGTCTTGTGGGGTGGCTATGTGGAGGAGAATGGAATAGAAAAGAGAGCCATGGAAATTCCTGAAGTACTAGAAATGTTCAGTGTCAGGTTAGATTGGGTCACCCACCTGGCACATTCTTCGGGTCTTGTACCCTTTGAAAGTTATTGCCTCACCACTTTTTGCAATCAGGTCTATATCTTAAGCTAGGGAGAGCATTCATAGCTCCCCCATTTGTTAATAATGTTGTCTACCCCCACTGAGGTGTGAAGATGCTCCTCCTTGAGGCTTATGATGCCAGCTTTGG